CATTACCATCAAACATAAGAGATATCTAGGTGACTCCCGTAAATGGCGCACAAAGATTTCAATACTTAACAGAGGCTGTATCTATGAAAGAAATTAAACCATATATTCAGTTAATGAAGGAGTACGTTTCACTAGAACACGTAGAAATAGTGCCAGACACAGATTATGAATTAGACAATAAACACTATTATATCCCACATCACTTCGTGTTGAAGGACTCTAGCTTAACAACAAATAGTTGTTTTCGATGCGAGTGCTAAAACAACCACAGATTTTTCTTTAATGATACACTAATGATAGGCCCCAAAAATACAGATGACTTAATTTGTATTTTACTAAGATTGTAACTTCATAACCGTGCAATAACCCTGATATAAAATGAATGTACAGACAGATAAAGGTTCAGAAAAAAGACAGAGATTTTCAGAGAATATTGGAGAGATAGCCGTATCACAAATACAAGTTTGTTGTTTGAAACAGTTACATATGGAACTGCAGCTGCTCCATATCTTGCAACCAAGTTTGAGTCATTTAGCGATTGATAAGGATTGAACTTTCCGCCAAGGAATATAGTTTTGAAGAGTTTTTTATTGATGATATGTTAAATGGTGTAAAAGATAGTTCGGAGTATGGCTTGAAGATATTGCACAACTCTAAATGGGTGGCTTTGAGCTTCACAAATGGTCGACTAGGAACCGTCATTGTTAAAAACCTCTGGCTAACAAATACGATAGTGACAATATCCACATGTATAGAAGACAAAACATGAAATTCTGGGTGGTGGCATGGCATCCGGACAATGATGAATTCAAATGTAATTCGTGTAATAGAGTAGCAAAGTGTTCCGACTAAAAGGATATTTTGTCATTCGTACAAAGATATTCGATCCTTGGGTGGATAGCTCGTTTTGGTATTCCTGCTAAATGATCCTTCAGCAATGTGAAATTTCAATTATCATGGGATGATCGTGTAACAGAAAAGATTGATCGAAATTGGAGAAATCTATGTAGAGAAGTTTAAACTTTGAATTCTATAAATATAGCTAGGAAAATTGTGCTACCTGATTATTTTCAATGTGAAATCATGGATTTTGTGATGCTCTGAAAGGGGTTATGCCAGTTATTTATATCAAAACTTGCAATAACTCTGACCTTAATGTTAAACTTGTAACAGCTAAAACTCGTGTAGCACCATTAAAATCTATTACGATTCCAAGACTGGAATTATGTGCAGCAGTTATTGGCACCTTGATTCAGTCTGTAAAAGCTGCATTAGTTATAAATTTTGATTTAGTGCAAGCTTGGAGTGATTCACAATCATGTTGTCATGGCTAAGGTCAGATCCTAAAAAATGGCAAGTATTCGTATCCAATAGAGTTTCTGAAATACAATCCATCTTACCACCTGAGAACTGGAGTCATGTTGATGGAAAGGAAAATCCAGCTGATTGTGCTTCACGTGGATTATTTCCTGCAGACTATTATCTCATCAATTGTGGTGGAATGGTCTTCTTGTTAAAAGTGCAGTGAGATGCCTTGTCTAAAATATTCTTATAGATGAAGAGGCATTACCAGATGCACGTAAAACAGTCTCATTTTGTAGTTTCTGACCTGTACAGGAACTTGCTATTATATCCAATATATCTTCATTTCCAAAGTTACAATGCTATGTTGCTTGGATATTAAGATTCATATCAAATTCTAAGTAGCATATCTAAAAGAAATATGTCTTTTTTATCTAGTAATGAATTCGAGCTGCAACTTCTGTATTGTCCGAATAATACAGCGATTTTACTTTTTAAAAAGAAATTCAATGTTTGTAGTTTGGGAAAGGACTTACCTACAACAGAAACTTCCTTAGCTTGTGTCCAATTTTAGATGACAACAAGTGTTACGTATAGGAGGAAGACTGAAAAATGCGCAACTATCAGAAAATGAAAAACATCCAATCTTATTACCTTCAAAACACAATCTGACAGAAATCATAATTAGACACTTTCATGTCAAATACCTACATGCAGCACCAGAACTTCTTCTATCTTTAATTAAGACAGCAATTTTCTATCATAGCTGCTAGATCTGCTATCCAAAAAGTAGTAAGACCTTGTATCACGTGTTGCAAACTTAGAGCTAAAACTGGAAGTCAAATAATGGCTGATCTACCGGAATCTAGAGCAACACAATCGCAACCATTTCATCGAACTGGAATAGATTTTTTTGGACCGTTCATGATTAAACATCGTGCAGGGCGTGGAAATATTACGTATGCTTATTTGTGTTTTGTAATCAAGGCAGTACATCTTGATGTGGTAGAAGATTTGTCAACAAAGACATTTTTAAGTGCATTGAAATGATTTATTGCAAGAAGAGGGAAACCATTTGATATTTATAGTGACTGCGGTACTAACTTTAAAGGTGCAGACAAAGAAATCAAAAAATGGTTTTTGCAATGTAAGCAAAATCAAGAAATTCACAAATTTTTGTCTTTAGAGGAAATAAAATGGATATCAACCCGCCATCATCATCCTCCCCATTTTGGTGGACTATGGGAATCGGCAGTAAAGCCAATAAATTCATCTAAAAAGGACTGTTGGTGATACTGTGCTGACCTAATCCGGAATTTCAGACCTTGATACCTCAGGTTGAGGCTTGTCTCAACTCTAGGCCATTGTGTCCAACATCGGCTCATACAAATGATTTAACTGCATTAACACCTGGTCATTTCCTAATAGCTACGTCTTTAACTGCCATACCTGAACCAGAGCTAAATTATAGTTCCTTCAATCACCTTGACAGTTGGCATGTGAAGACAGTTTATTTTTCATCACTTCTGGAAAAGATGGAGTAGAGAATACCTGTCTCAGCTTCAAAAGACCTAAATGGCAAAAAAGTCAAAAAAATTTAGAAGTCAATGACTTAGTCCTCATAAACAGAGACAATCTTCCGCCTCTTAAATGGAGGTTAGGGAGAATATTGCTGTTCTCTCCGGCTCAATCATAGAGTCGAGTTGTTAGTATTAAAACTTTTCATGGTGTCATAAAACGATCAGTCGTGAAATTGTGTCCTCTTCCTATTCAGACTAAAAACTATGAACTGCTTCGGCATATAATTTTTGTATTATTTTTTTTATGTTTATCTTTTATTACAGACTAAGAAGTTTCAAAAATGCTCCAACTGTTGAAATCCCCTGGGATTCACAGTGCGCAGGATGTTTATGTGAGTACGTTTGGTTCATTTTATTGTTGCAAACAGCGTAAATTTCTTTTGTTTTTCTTCCTTTAGTTTTGAACTTTATGTTTGGCAACAAGATAATTGATTGATAGAACTGTGTTTGTGACAGCCATATAGAATGGCTCGCTTATTTTGTATCAATTATTTCGCATCGCTGACATCTTATTTTTAATTAGTGTAATGAAATAAAAGTGAAGGAATATAGTCCATAGTGATTATTTGTTTTTGTGAAACATATTAAAGAAAGATCATTTACTAGAGGCCTTTAAACTGTTCAAAAGGAGATGCCATTATGAGCATCACCAGCAAATGTAATTTCAGGGCCAAGTGTGTCATATATGAATTTGGATGCACTATGGCTGCCTACCACATGTCTTTTCAAACAGAAGATTTAATTAGTATTTTTTGTTGTTACAGGATGTAGCTGTATATCCGTTAGAGTGAAATTTATCTAAAGTAAAGTATATTGACCTTCATTCCTATGCAATGTTTTTATTTTTGGTATTCTGTTTAAGGAGATTCAGTGAGAGGGAGATTCTTGAGCATTGAATTATGTAATGGCTATTTCACTGCCTCAATTGAAATAAACAAATGCAGGTATGTTATGGATGCTTGGGAATACTTTTTTTTCACATATAGAGGTTTTATTTATTTCTCTTGGATTTTTTTACAACCTTAAGACAGACATTTTGTATGGTTTAAGGAAATATTTTTACACTTAAATGGCAAAAGAAAAACAATATTTAACAGAAGAAGAGTATACACAAATCATAAATGTGTTTTTCTTCCATAGATAACAGTAATGCTATTTTTGCACAAATTGAAAGTGACAGTTATAGCACGAACACATTTATTTGGCTATATATACTTATTTGAGGTATGTCAAAAACTATACACGCTGGTTTTCATGAAAGAGATTTTTTAATAATTTTTATAAATATGGTATATTAAACAAAATCCATAATTGGATGTTTTTGCCATATATATTTATTTCAAATAAGTCAAAAACATATATTACTTGAGAATTAATTAGTTTAAGAAATATTTAAGGAAAATATAATAATAAAATTTTAAAATTAATTCAGAGTATATTTCTCATAATGTACCAAAAACTGGTGCAGTTGGACCACAAATTTAATTTATGCTAATTTTTTTCAAAGTTAGCAGTGTGATATGCCTGTACCCTCAAGGCAATGCATCCAGTTAACACGCTGTCCCGAGAGAGTGAATCAGTGACTCAGCTGTGTATCACAAATGGGTTAAAAGAAACTAATGACAGCTAAGTACAGGGTATTATTTTCAATCAGCATAAAGTGTAACTGTTGATGTCATATTAGGCTTATCAAGCTTTATTTTAAAGAAAAAATTCGAAAAGTTTTTATGCTTTATTTTCTTAATATATATAATATATTATAAAATATGGAAGTTCAAATTATTCTGTTGTCAAAATATATTGTGTTCACTTTACCTTCGATTTAAATCCACAGAACTTAGTGGTACTTTAATGGAACATATAATGTTTAGAACACTAACAAGGCACTAACAATTTTAAGCCATTGCTGCTAAAAACCTCATCAAAATTATTTCAAGATAATATTTAATAAAAGGACTTTTTCTTACATGATAATTGATTAGAGATATTTAATACAGAAATAAATTGTTTTTAAGGGGGATCTAACTTTTACAACTAACTTTTACATTCAAATAATGAATTATAAAGAATAGTTAAATAAAAATTTAATAAAAATGAAAAGACAAAATGTTCACAAACCAAGCGTGTGTTTCCAACAGCTACGATAAAATCAAAAAATGCTTCTAAACCAGCTTTAGAACCAGGAGAATTATCCTGAACCTGTAAAAGAAAAATTCAGATTTAATTTCTATTACGATTAAACAATACAAAAAGAGGAGTTTGGAATAATCGGAGAAAGAAAGATTGTTTTCAGAAGACAGCTGCCCTGTTCAAGCACATATTAAGTAAAAAGAAGAAATTAGTCAATCATGTAATTAAACAAGCACATTTCAGAAAAAGAATAAAGTTTTAAAATTTATAATTATAAAAAAATATGCGATACTATTTCTTCATATATTAAAAAAGAGGGGAAGAAGAAAAGAATTACGTTAATCTTTTAAAATTCTACATTCATTTGAGTATACAATTTGGTTAATTACCATGCAGAAGGACTGACTTCAGCTAGCAATATGATTAACACCTGATAACTAATTTGTACAGTTGGGAGAAGAGAATAAAATTATGACCATAGTTGCTGCCAAAAGTTAAACTTTCAAGAAAGTCTTATGTGTATTTACAACCTGGTGAGAGTTAATGTAAAGAAGCTACAGTACATTTCAAAATTGTAAGAAAATGTGTTAAGCAACATAAATTTTACAACTCAGTCCAATTCCAGGTAATTTCACGGTTTTTTAGACTGAAAATTAAACTAAAATGATGTTTTTGAATCCGATATTCAATGGAAATAGCGAACAGTATTCAATGGTTTTAAAGACACGGACTTCCACAGCACTTGCAAAATATGGAAAACCTGATAGGATTACACTCATAAAAAGACTACTTTTAAAAAGATAACAGTAATAAATAAATAATTTAAATTACAATAAATAAACAAATATAGAATTCATTTTTTCATCAAATCCAAGAACATTCTGATAGCTCTCTTATCTAATGTTTCTAAAACAGCATACCTAGTATTCATATGAGAATATATGAAAAAATAAGATACTGAGAATATGAGAGTTTACTAGGATATGCATTAAACTGTTCTATTTCAATGTGAAAATTGTGCACTTATGATTGCATCTAACAAAAACTGGATTTGATTATTTGATTCCAACAAAGTATAGTATAGATGTCTATCATTGTGGAAAAGCTGCCTTTGTGGAGAACTTCTTAAAAGGACCTGGCCAGTATTTACAGCATTCATTAGAAAAATGAATGAAGACATAAATACAATGTCTATAAATATAATGAGTCTTGAAAAATTTTATATCATATGCTGCAAATGATAACTACCATTCTAAAGCTTCGAGTAACATCCATTCATATTCCAGCATGTGTACTTGGTTTCATGTCAAACATTTTCCCATTATTGTTGGCCTGAAGCTGATAACACAATAAAGATACAAGAAATGACAGCAACTGTCATGTCTACCTTAATATGAAGTTCGATCAAACAGTAATGCACAATCTACTGTAGCTTAACAATAGTGAGCACTAGATAAATGAAATTTTGTTGGGAAAAATATTTCTCCTTCATAACCTAACTTTTTACTTTCTGTTGCTACTGGTAAGCCACCATGGATTATTCTTACTACACGAACATGCAGCGCCTGACTTTGACGGCTCTACAAATTCAGTAATATCAATCGATAGTAAACTGTTGTCACCATCTACACAGGCATCACAATGATTATAAGTAATGCAAACTAATAGCGTTAGAGATTTTAACATCCAAAGACTGATAGCCAAGACTAGACACAACCAAGTAAACTGTCAGTTATCATCACAAACCATGAAAACACAAAATCATTGAGAAACTCATCCAAAACAATATGTACATTACTATGAGATTTATCAGAGTAGACAGGTAAGGTAAAATGATCAGTGTTAATTCTAATCCAGCAATTTGGACAGAGCAAAATTTGTCCTTGCTGGGTTATACAATTGTTGACATGATATACGATGCAAATCAGGAAGAAACACGAGATGTTTTGTGGTTTCTCAGGTAGCCATTCAAAATGCTTCTATGGAGTCATGTGTAGTACAACTTGGTTGCTTCATTTCAATTTGGAAAGAAAAGAGCAATTGACAGAATGGTTTCATTTGGTTTACTTAATTATGGCAAAGCACACTAGGGCTATCTGTCTAAGGATAGGGATGCCTTCGTGGGGGACTTTCTAGAGAAAACTGGCTCAAATGCACGTTACACATCGGGAAAATGATGAAAACGTCCATGCAGCCAGGCCGTTCACGGGATTCGGACCTTGGACCGAACTACCTGTGTTCAGCGACCTTACCGCTTGGCCGCTGGTGAGGCCCCAATTGACAGAATGCACACATACCAGGGATATACCAAGGATGATACTAATGGTTTATCTGATGGCACTTCAAAAACAAACATAATGTGTTTTTACTTGTATATTCAAGTCCTTTAATCTGCAGCAATATCAGTACTCTAATTTAGAGAATAAAAGCATTAGTAAAATAATTTAAATCAATATTTAAAATAATTAATAAATAATGAAAGAATAAATATGATTTGTATGAAAAACGGAGTAAAATATGAAAATGGAGTAATAAAAGACTATAACACCATTTGGCATTATGGTTATCCTAGACATCTTGTTTTTACATTTTGTATTTTCCAGTCAGTTTCACTTTCTGCTGATGATCTGCAATAATAATTTTTCAATCATCACAATAAGCAAATTTGGTTAATCTTTGGATTATGGTAACTTGGCGATTTTTTGGCGAAAATTTGGCAACCAACCCTGCTATAGCAACCTGCTAGTTTTTTTTTTTTTTTTTTGACGCTATTTCATTTTCACAAAGTAAAGGCGGTACTTTTCCGTTTCACCGGCGCAAATCTCGCCAAGCAGACTTTATTGGCGACAACATACAGTATACACATAAAAAATATTAGTTCTAAGAATTCTTTTAAAAAAAGAAGGCGTAAACATTTTAATATCACTTAAAATTTTTATAAAAAGCCGATAAATAAAGTAAATAAATTTGTAAAAAGACATTAATTTAAGAATTTACTATGCTTTCATGGTTCAAACTCCTGATTCGCCAGTTATATCACGTGACCCCAAGCGATCTCATCTCACGTAAACTACTCTACAAAAATCTAATGCTCTCAGTAATTATCTACATTCATTTCAAGTTAAATCTTAATTTGGAACACAAGTTTAAATGCAAGAAATATTTCAATTCGTACGAATAGCTTACTAGAAATTATGTAAAACTGCAGTGCTTTACTTCGCTAATGCATTCTCATTAGAAATGATGAATTTTAACCCTTGACTTTACCTTTTCTATATTTCGGCTTCGGGTAAGTGTGCTGTGATTGCATCCTAATTGACCTAACTACTGAAAATGGCCTTAGACATAAAACTGAACTATCTGATAAAAATTCTATGTAATCTATATGCCAGTATTGTAAAAACAACCAGTCTGATAAGAAAAAGCTGTGACTTGTTTTGAAAATGATGCGTAAAAGGTTACCAGCGAGAATATTCCGTTTGGCATCAGTTGTACCATTATTGGTGACTTTATCGCTTGCGCCGGCAAACCGGAAAAGTACCGTAAAGGCTTTTTTTTTTTTTTTTTTAACTCAAAATTTTTTTTCCAACAATCTGCTAGCCGATTTATGCTTATGCTAGAACTGTGAAACAAAAGTGCTTAATCATGACGAAGATTAGGTGCGAAATTGGTAGAAAGTACAGAATCGCCCACTGCTTGCCGCGTTTTTAAGAATTGCACATAACGGTATCATCTATATACACGTCGACCTATTTCACTTAAAAAACATCCCAGAATTGCACAAAAATGCATTGCGCACACTCGACTTTATCCATGTACACTGCTAAAGTCCTAGCTAGTAACCTTTATAGCCTTACCAAATTGTCGCCAAACTACCTGTTACCATATTCCAAAGATTAGCCGCAAATTTAACTTTAAATTTAAGACATGGCCTGGTTAACTCAAAACCTGGCCCTGGTTAGCTGTAAGTTGATGGCATTATTTTAATATTTTATCATTAATTGGGAGGGAAGGCAATTTTGCAATAGAGTCAACATAAATAGAAAATTTATGGGTTTAATTCTAGTATCCAGCGCACACGGGATTTGGCTACTTTTGGCGACTTAATGATGAGCAATAAAAACAGGACATATATGATTAGTAGTAAACGGGTCATTCAAAGAATATATATAGTTGTACATAGTATATACTTAATATATAGTGTATAGTATATACATAGACGTTGTTTGGGTATGCATATAGTGTATAGTACATAGACGTTGTTTGTGTCATTTTTGGTGTTGGCAATAATTTTCAAAATCGCACCAAGGCTACACCATATACTAGGATTTTACCAAATTTATGATAATATTACCATAATTACTTATTTTTAATTCAATAATTCTGATTTCCCAATATTTTTCACTATATAAAAAATCAGTTGTCAAAGCAAAAATTTCATCAATTCCATTCTAAGACTGCCATTAACTTTGTGATAATATACATTATTACATTACAAAATTTTTACAAAACAAATAAATTTAATTAAAGAATAATTTTCAAGTATAATATGCTTCATAGTCAAATTTCAAATATTGAACACTTCCTTATTGGTAGTGAATAAGAATATTTCACATTAAGTAGATAAATAATGCTAAAATTACAAAGATGCAATTCATAATTAAAATTAGAATTATGCTCTAAAATAAATTATTTAAAATGCCTAAAAGTTGGTATATATTAATTTGAATTACCATAATAAGTTTACAATCTTGTAATCACGGTATTCATTTAAGTTATGCAGATATAAAAGAAGCGTAGTCGGCGCTATGATAAGCAGGTGAAATATTCATAACAATTCAAAATCTAAACGATAAGGTGAAACTTTTGTTTTCACACGTAAAATAATAACACTTGACAATACATTTCATATAATAATATAATGAGAACTTCGTATAACAACCATTACAAGTTATAGGAACCGGTTATCAAAACAAGAGACATGTCCGACAATATCGAGCAAAAATACCGGCATAAACAGAATTCGTATTCCAACCAGAATGTAACAATCTGGAAACCATACTTATGTCTGCGTTTCATCACTACACGTGTTATTCACTTAATTTTACAAAACTTATGTCATTTATTTATCAGATAATGAACATATCTGCGTCCCTATACTCACACGTAACACATGGTAACCCTCCGTTCCACCGCCAGGGACTAAGCTACTTTCTCCGCTGCCCATCGTGGGCTCAAAAAATAATTATTGTGCGTTAATATGAGATATTTTTTCAAATTATAACCGATTTCGTAGCCATAAATCTTATTATAAGTTTACGTGGCAAAATCAACAACAGCACTAGTAACCACAGTTGCCATTCAAAAGTTCATTATTTATTGCAATGGTTACAGTTAAAATAAATGCATTTCGTTTCGTTTCACCCGTTTAACCCATTCCCGACGAGTTTTTTTTTTTTTTTTTTTTTGTTTTTGTAAATAACAATTTTGGTAGCATAAACTATGAGAAGCGCACACTAGAATGCTAAAACTAAGATGTTATATTTTTAGGAAAATTTTAAATACATTTAGGACCGGGATATATATGTCCCATCAGTCCTGATTAAGGCTGCTCTAGACCTTAGTCCTGACCACTGGAACATATGTGGCCCAGTAGTCTTCAATGAGTAATTTTGTAAAGAAACCAGTGGGATATTGTTCGGAGAACAGCCGGATGCCATCAAGGCTTCTGCAAGAGATACAATGAAATCAAGAAGTGGGGTTTTTCGATGTTATAATTCAATCTATGAGTTCCATGAGTTGACCACTGCGCTCATCAATAGGCGAAAAAATACTTTCTTCCCTGACTTCCAAGATTTTCGATCTAATTCATAGATATTTGCCATTTCATCTGCAAGGTCTACACCCTCATGATTTTGTTTTAGAATTTGATTGCCACAGGACACTCAAATTCTTCTTTGCTTCCATCTTTCATGGTGTGATTTACTTTTGCGTATTTAACTTCTTGGCAATTACTTAGCATCATCACTTCTTTTGAATCAGGCCACCTCGCCCACATTGTTCCATTTTTACTTACGAGAAATTTAGCCTCACCCCTTTTGCTTAGTTCTGTTGCAAAATTAAGAACATCTTTGCGTGTCTTGATGCACATACCGACAGCAGGAAATTTTAGGGTTTTCATCTGGCCCACGCTTGTAAAAAATCGATCAAACGCAAGCATCATGTCTTTTCCTCGGACTGTCTCCATTAGTTTTGATACTACCCGTTCCTACAGTGGCTAATCGCACCGAGGGTGCGAATTGCTAAGAGGCTATTCACACCATCTACGTTCGCGCATGCGCACAATCAGGTAGCCCGTAGCGAAATTGTCTGTAGGCTTTGTGAATATGCGGCAGGCGGTAGCGAGAGCGAAGGTTGTTAAGCCTAACTCAGCAGTAGGGTTGTTAATAGTTAACCAGCACGAGAATAATTTGCATGTAATAATTATCAGTTACAAAGACGGGGCCAATCAGGAAATGATTAGATAAAATAGGGATTTAATGATGGTTCTAATTGCAAGCGAGGATGTGTAATTAGTTAAAAAAATTAATGTATTGACAAAAAGGCTACAGAACTTACTTAAATTCTTTTAACAGGGGCTAGAACAGGACTAGGACTTTTTAACAGGACTAGAATAGGGAAATTAGGTGGATGAGAGAGGAGAATAAACCTACATTGTTGACCACCAGTTTAGGAAATATGAGCTTTATGTCCTACAAAGTATTTTTACAAAAGCAATAACTTTTCTGCACAGTTTGCCACTACCAGCCAGCTTCTCGGTGCTGAATTAGCAGGTTAGCATAATAAGTATCTCTTATCGTTATACTATATGGTTTGTAATCAATACACAGTCATCCTTCTCAGTCCCAGAAACTGGTACCCCAAATCTTTCTAATAGATTTCTAGAATCTGAGATTATGAGGTAGGGTATATAGACTGCGTTTCCATAATAAGCTGTCTTGTTTCATTTTTCGCTCACTATAGTGAAACAATGCTTTAAGTTCTGTGAAGAGTTTTAAATAAATTTACATATGATTATAATGGAAAACAGTTCTGTAAAATATTCGACATATATTTCTTCCACTCTGACATTAAGATTCTCAGTATCCATAACCTTTATGGTTGTCATACAGGATATTTTTACTGACTGGTATTTTATTACTGGTGTCCATTTCCATAGCCATCTGAAAAATGTCAGTTGTATAATTTCCATCACATATTTCTCAAATTTAGGGTACATTTCTTCAGTGGTCATAGCCACATTGCTGTACAGTGTAAGATCAAGTAATGCAAATTCGCTAAACATGGCGCAACTCATCTTTTGTCGCTGACATAGGAAGGTCCTATTTCACTCTAATCCTTCAAGTATTTAAGGTTCATTTCTTGAAACCCTAAAAGAAATTCACTCTTTTCTTTTATGGAATTTTATGTGCATAATCTTTAGATGACTAGAGTTTAACCACGCATTCAAGAGTATTTATCTGTGCCGTGCCTACTCTTTTCAAGAATGAAAAAATAACATGTTCGATATTTTTAATATTAACAGAAATGAACGAATGAAAGCATTTAAAAGCCTCATAGAAATAAAATAATAATAATCTACTATTTATGCTTTCCTGTTTTTACTTCGAAATGATTATGCTATCACTTCGCTACGTTTCCTATTTAGATTTTGAGCTAAATGAATACACCTAGTACAATGGTCGAAGCACTTGTTTTTCAAGCACTCGTACAATGGTTGAAGCCCGTCAGTTGTAAATTTGCAATCGGACTGTGTTCGTTTGCGCTCGCTACAGCGAGTAACTGCAATGAGAGCTGAGATAATTGATGACCGTCAGGAGGTAAATGAAGAGATTAAACCCAAGTCCTAGCCAGGATAAAGAACGAATCTTCAGTTTTTGGAGCGACGTGACGTCATAAAATTATTGCCTCTTCGGTGGATAAAAACGGCACGACAGCACTTCAATGCAGATTTTGCCAGTAATCATTAAATTTTCTACCATTTTCGAGTTATGAAGCAGATCGTGGTAGCTCGAAAAACGTTATTATAATGTTGTAATAAAAATTGACTTTATTATTAAAATACTTGTCCTCAAAATGGTTCAGCAAGTTAGCTGCAGTTTTCTGATAGAAATATTTGACATTTTCACAAATACTGTTTTCTGTAAATCTTTACTTGTGCACACTATAAAACAATAACGTAAAATGTCTTAGAAAATGCATATTTCATTGACTATACCAGTGCGTTTAACATTGCAGGAGTAAATTATGTATTAAAACTCAACATGATACTGGAATGTAAGTACAAGGTGTCCGAGGAAATGTACGAGTTTTCACACGTCGTATTCAGAAGATTCAAAGACAATATATAAGATTTAAAGGTTCTAAGCACATTTGATTCTTTGATAATTAAACAGAACAATTGGGGCTCTATTGGCTATGCCTTATTGAAATTATAATAAGCATATCTGAAATTACAATTACTAATCGCGAGTAGCTGAAACTTCGAACTCATTCATCGGCCATTAATATGAGATTTTTCGAATTGTAGAAACATATAGAAAAAATAGCAATAATGTATAAGATACGTAACATAGGAAGTTAGAAATGTCCTTTGTTCAATGCGATAGTGTATTTTCCTGTATTTTAATTTATATTAACTATATATACTACTAAAAACGAAATGTGGTTTAAGGTTTTAAGAAAAACATTTATTTGCATCAGAGATATCATTAGTCTCGAAACTTACTTTTTTTGTCCGTCTCAATTTTCAAATAAAAAACATATTGCTAGTAGTGTTACCCCCATGTATTATTATAAAAAAATATAATATAGCAAATATAAAAAATAAGTATAACAACCCTTAGCATTGTATCATAAATTTTAAAAATACGCTATTTATAAATATTTTGTGACTTTTTTGTTAAATTTTATGTGACGTAGGTGACGTTTAATAAATGCAGTTAAAAAGAATAGACAAAAGATTAATAATAATAAAAAGTTTATGTGATCTTATTAAGAAAGTAAATAGAGACATGATGAACTGAGAGAAAGACTGAAAAAATTGGCAGCACTTAACACGGTATCGAGAATTCTAAATAGATGCCGCTTTTAAATTCTGTGATTTAGCTGTTGAACGTTATGCGACCTAACTGGAGAAGAAAGTGATGCCTAATAATTAAGTTAAAAAATACAAAAATAATTATGTAAGTCATGTGGTTAAGAAAATTGAACACTGATTTGATGAAGGAGGAAAAAGTGAAAGAAATAGACAAACGCATGGCAATACTTAGCAAACTATCGAGAATTCGGAAAATTTGCTGCTTTTAAAGATTTTGTGATTTTACTTTCGGATTTTATGTGACGTACAGCAGGAGTAAGTGCAAGAAAAGATTGGCAGCCTGCGAGCTCAGCGTTTAAACTTGTTAAATTAAAATAAGCCCTGTGTTAAATTTAACAATCTAAATTTAAAATCTAAACTCTTTCAGATTATTAGTAAGCCCAGATACTCGGTAGGTTGGAGTGCCGTTGAGAAGTGGCCACCGCCATCTTGGAAATCACGTGAAACTGGAAGTGACGTAGACGGGTTCAAAGTTTCGTTTTATTTTATGGCAATGATAATATTTTTCAAACATTTAATTTTTGTGACAATGACAATTTTTTGTGGCAACGATCTCTTGAACCACGTACTTGGAATGACATCAGTTTTAATTTAGTATTTTTAACTCTTTAATCTGTCATTGTTTTTAATTATTTAATCTATTTTTATTTTTAATTATTTAATCTTTTGAATAGTTATTTTTAATTGATTCTCTTATTTAATTTAATAAATTTTTAATGAATAAATTTTATGTTATTACACCAATTTTAAAAAGATTGGATTCGAACCTGCACCTCTCGCATCGGAGACACAGATCAGCTGTTCTTAACCTTTTGACTAACGCGTACCATCTACACAAAAACTGAAAACCTTTAGTACCACCACTACAAAGTACTATTACCACCACCACTCTTGAACAAAGCTAAGATCTCATAAATTTACGA